CCCCAAAACCCCAAAACCCCAAAACCCCAAAACCCCAAAACCCCAAAACCCCGCAATATTTTAGGCAAATTGGAAGATATATTAAGATGTAGGGAGCTCATGTCTACAGGTGGGGCATTTATAATTGCTCTGGAGCCAAGGGAGAAGGCAGTCTTTATGAAAAAGGTGCCTGCATGGCATGTAAATTGCTTCGTCAGAGATCTTCATATCGTTAAGTCAAACAGTACAATTTGGATATTCATTTTTCCCAGTCTCAGAATTTTTAGTCTGGTGACTTTCGGATATAGTGACCCTTTCCAGTCCATTCACGGCTTCTTCAGTTGGAACTCGGGGTTGTTGTTGGTTAGTGATAGAGAACTGGTTCAATCGAGAAAATATATTTCCAAAAACTATCCTTAAGTCCATTGGGAATAACAATCTCCTAAGAGTTGTATAATCACTAATATAACTCCTCCGGAAATTGATCTGGATGTGGTCATCCGGACCAATCTGCTGGATGCTCATAGAACCTCCCAAAGGAGCAGCTAGGGCAGAAGGTATAAAGTGTCTATTCCTTGTCATGTTTGAGATAAAGTCATTAATGAAATCATTAGAAGGAAAAGGATCCGCTTCTGCTCGAATTTCTTGACTATTTCTCGGAGGCTCTCTTCTTAAAATTGCTACTCTTATTTGGGGGTCTAGAGCGTTTGAAGTTGCTTCTCTTGGTCTCTGATTTCTATTAGAAACACGAAAAGGATTAGAAGTCCTGCTGAGGTCGCTCTCTTCTGGAAAAGGGATTCTGAGTAATCTGATTAGTAAGATCTTGGGTTTGTTCATTCCTTCACTCAGGTCATGTACAAGAATTATTCGAGGTATTTTCCCGGTTATTTATCTGACATAAACGTCAGTTGCATTCTGATTGTTGAGGATCAAGACTAGTTACAACAGAGTCAGGTGGATCTCTTACCTCCTTTTCCTCTTCATTTACCTCTTTATCTTCCTCCCCTTCACTATTTTCTACTCCAAGTAGCCCAAGCAATCGTCTCTCCAACAACTCAATTTCAAGCTCAACATCATACTCTTGATCAGTAATCTCAATAAAGTCACTGTCACAATTACCTCAAGTAACCTCATGCCTTGTATATTCTGCATCAAAGACTATCTTGGTAGTAACCTTCTGTCAGTCGTGACAGTACAGTTCCATCTTACTCATTTTTACTAATTTTTATTATAAGAGGCTGCCACTGGGGTTTTGGGGTTTTGGGGTTTTGGGG